TCTTGTGCTTCTGCAAGTGGCCAGCTCCTTGCCAAACAGGTCGGCACAAAGCTTCACTGTAAGCTTCAGGCGCTGGCCTTTTGGTCTCCCAATGACACTCTCTGCCCCAAGGCACGGGGACTTTCCCCGCAGCATGCTGGGGAGCGAGCTCCCTGTGTGTTGGCTGCGTGGCCGTGCTTCCCCTGCCTCCACTGCAGTCCTGAACGGCGCAGGCTGAGCTGAAGCTTCCCGCCAAAGTCTGCAGCATTTGCAACTTCGAAAGCATAGCTACGTCCACATGGAATCTAGGTATCCGGGCTGACCAACGCGGAATGTTCACTCTCTGGAGGGGATGACCCCGCTGCTGGGGCCTGGTCTGTGCCTCTCGTGGTCGGACACTCTGAGCCAAAATGGCTTCTTTATGGGATATTAAGGTACATTATGGGATATTATGGTATATCATGGGATACAATATCTGAAGCCCATCTCAGCGACCATGGCCTCGTGTGAAGTGATCCGTGATCAGCATATGAGGCCAGCAGAAGTGGAGTTGCGTGGTGCAGCTAAAGCAAAATCAGCTATAGTCCAAACTCCTGAAAAGGAGGTTATACAGGGGATTATATAGGGGTATATACATATATATATATAGGGGTTAATAAGGGGCATACCAGGAGTTTAGACTATGGCTCAAATGTCTCAAGGCTTACCTTGGGCTTGCGAGGATGCCAATCCAAGGGCTTCAGGCTTCTGGCCTTGGAGCTCGTCCGCTCCTTCTTTTCTCCGCTTGCCTGGCGGGATCAGATTTATAGTCCCCTTTCAAGTAGATAGAATATGGGGTATGTGGGGATCTTATTTCAATATACTCAAAGCCATATTCTGTCTGCTTACAGGGGACTGTACCCTTTTTGGGGGGATGTGGAGGGCGAAGTAGTTGAGTTCATCTTATGGGGCGTCCCAAAAGCAGGGGTACCCTTTTTGCGGGGTGCCCATAATAAGGATTATCGAAATTAGGTCAAGATAACCCTAAACCCTAAACCCATGGTGCCTCCGCAATCGCTTGCATGGCCGGCATCTCCAGCTCTCTCTCTGGAGCTTCTGCCTCCTACAGATAGGAACACGTTCGGCGGACATTCATTCCCAAACCCCTAAAGGATTCAAAAAATGGAGCCCCCCAAAATCACCCTCATTACTAAATTGGGGAAACTAGGGAATGAAATGGGTTATGGGGAGGCTCCATTTGTTGGATCCTTTGGGGGTTCTGGGTTAAGATCACACGCGACTCGCTTCGGCAGAAAATGTTGCATGGTGTGACACTATCTTTTAAAGAACTGAAATTTGAAAAGCTCCACAAGTTCCAGAATCAACATCCACAACAACGAGCCGCTGGCACCACCGCACCCCCGCCACCGCCAGCACGCGCCGCCGCCAGCCGGTAGCACCAGCAACACCAGCAGCTCAACCAACCCACAATCAGCTTGCTCTCGACATTCTGCTTGGAAAGCATTTTGGCCCGGTATCCTCCGCCATCGGCGCGGCAGGATCAGGAAAATCAGCACCACCTGAGTCGATGCTTCCAGCGCTGCTTGTGCGAAAGGTTATGCGGTATGCGCAGTAGCCCCTCCTGAACATATCATTGTGCAGATCTTAGTTCTGTGTGAGAGGCCACACAGAGAGGCCCCACCTTTGAGAATTAACTGTTTCCAGCAAGCCAGGACAGCTTCGCTAGTGCTTGTTCCGCGAGGCGTTCGCATCTGCTCAACGGGGTGCCAGTGCCAGCGCGGCATCACGACTTCACGACAGCGGTGCCCCGATGGCAAACAATTCGCAGAAAGGTACAAATGAGCAGCGGCTTTGTTGACAGACAACTTAGACTCTAATATCTGAAGATACAAGTCCTGAGAAAACATACAACAATGTTTAGGAACGTAGCAGTACGACGTTTGCTGGTTGGGATCCCTACTGCTCAACTAAACCGCTCAGTCAAAGGATTCAGCAGGACAGAAGGAGAGAGACGCAGGTTTGCATCTCACAAAAGAAGGCGAATGGGAACTTGTCTCAGCCATCCCGCCCTTTGCTTTACAGAGCTATACAGGACGCACACAGCGATTGCATACTCCACTACTTCTGGGCTGCTATATCCAACTGAGCATGTGGGCTCTCACTTCCATGACTATGCAAGGACCGCAATAGAGTTTGACTCTGGTTTCCATGCAACGACTGCAGAAGTGTATTAAAATCCGCTGAAAATGATGATCGCATCGCCAGGAGGGCATTATAGATCTTCTCCCGGATGAACTGATTCATGGCAGGGAAACCGCCTGTACCAGGGATTTGGGCTTAGGATTTGGGCTTAGGATTTCTAGTTGATATCAGGATTTCTCAAAATGGGGCGCCCCAGGTATTCCACGGCATACATAGGGATTACAATGGACTATGGGGATCCGGACATGGCATTCTATATAGGGATTACATGAGTTCTGCCTATATCGGTATGGGGAACTTACAGCTAAAGCAAACTCTAGATTGCAGGCGGCGCAGTACTGTGCTGCCGTCCACGTACAGGAGTTCACAGCATATCACAGGGGAGTACTCCGTGAGTCCTCGTTTATGCCCATAATGCATCCTAGGCAGACGCAAGCTGCGTCTCGCAAGGTCGCAGTTCTCACTGCTGGGTTGCTGTTAAGGAACTTAATCTAAGTTAACATACTATGGGCATGTTGTAATCTAATTTGAGTTTCTTCAACGGCAGCCCAGGTTGCACAAGCACCATCCCCGTCGACGCCTGGCATTTGGGCCACCAGCTCATCTATCATGTCTTTGTCCTGTGGGGAGTGAATAGGAGTACAGCTGCAAATATGAGACTCTGTTTTTTGAGGAGCCACCTTATAGCAATACTGAGATACTCAAACTCTACACCCCAAACATGCCCGTCACAGAGCCCTGTAGACTCAGCAAAGCGCCGATAGATACAAAGTCCTCTTGAACCGACGCAGTGGCATCCTCAAGACGCAGCGTCGCGAGGCGCTCCTGGGAATTATGGGACCCCTCAAGGGACACATGTACCTAGTTTAGGGGGTCGGGCTTTAGAGTGTAGGGCCTAGGGTTTATAGGGTTTAGGGTTTGGGGTTTGGGGAGCATTTGCGGGCTCACTTGGCATGTCAGGGTAATTATACTATCTGTTTAACGTACGTACTTCTAAACCCCCTCATTACTTACTCCCAGTCCCCTAGTATGGTCCTAATTGCATTAGAAGTAACAAGTCTACTTGGGTTATACTACCCCTAAACCCTAAACACCCCAAACCCTGAAACCGAACCTACATGAGGTTCCATCCAAAGAACGCACCCTTCCGATTTGAAGGGCTCACCGGCCCTGACGGTCCAAGACCCAATACATGACCAGCCCCAGAAATGGTAATCAGGTCCCAATATAGACCCCGATATACTATACTCCTTAGAATGGGGACACCTAAAAAGGCACCCCTAATTTTTGGGCAAGCGAGGCACCTAGGAACCCCCTATTCCCTCTGAACCACTAGACCATACCGATTTTCCCATTTCCCCTTCCATTTGGTTCTCCATTGATGCGGTAATGGCCCAAATGTCCCTAAATCCTAAACAGTTGTTTGTTCCCGTTTTCTTTTCCATTCCCCCACATAATTCCTCCATATTCCCCAAATAACCCGTGTAAAAGCCCGTATGTAATCCCCATATAGGGTTACCCATACAACCCCCATATCATCCATAATTCCTTGAGCCCTTTGGGGTTGGAACAACACTCCAAGTTCGCACCAAGCTGCGGCGATGCGCATGGCCACATCCACCCCGGCTCTCCCTTCATGGAGAACGCCTGAGCCATAGAAAGGGGTATAAAGGGGTTATATAGGGATACTGAAAAGAAAATGGAAGCTACTACTTAGGGTTTAGGGTATATGGGGACTTCTCAAAATTACGGTACCGTTTTGGTACCCCTAAATGTTGGGCGCCGTAGTATAGTCCATAACCAAAAGGACGCCATGTTTTTGAGAACAACCCACATAATCCCTTCTTATAGCCAGAAATGCGTCCTTAAACTCTAAGCGCTGAACCCTACAGATGGCTAAATGATGGTTCCTGCTATTATGCCAGTTTCAATTCCTACAGTACTCATACTAGCACTGCTGATGATCGTTGTCAAGGGGTCCAAGTATCAATATAGCGCATGCTTTTGGCCCCTACAGAGGCTGTTATACAGCTACTTCGAGGAATCTAGGTACTTAGACCGTCAGGGTCATAAACATTCCCCCCACAACCTCCTCTTTCCGGCTCTCCTGCCTGAGGATGTACATAGCCATAAGCCGTGAAAGTCGTCCGCCTCGTTCTCCTGAAGTCAGACTATGAACAGAACAAGCACCCCCTTCGAATCTGTCCCTGCAATTGAACCACAAATGCCGATAAGATTTATAAAGCATTCATGAAGGCTCGGCCTTGAATGCTTTGCAGGGGGTACGCGCAACGTAGGCATCATGACTTGCATCAGGCCACGTGAGCCATCATCACAATGCTGCTTCTCACCCCTCACCATGAGTTATAGGAAGAATGTCTATGCAATGCCGTAAGGCAGGTGGAATGTAACCGCCCCTTGAAATGGGTCTAAAAATCAAAGCCATTGAAATCTTCATGTAATCCAGTACACCCCTTTAATCCCCATGGATCACCAGATAATGCCTAGTGCCTGATAATTATCATACTGCAAACCTTCATGTAACCTTAAAGTCCCAAACCCTCCACATCCTTGGCCCTGAACCCCTACATAAACCTTCAGTTTTCTATGCTCTCTTTAACTTCAAATTCCCTAGAAACCACCAGCAAGTTGAGCTTTTTATTCAACCCACCCTCCACACATCCCAAAACCATATAACGATGATGGAAACCTCATTTTCCTAAGCCCATACATGAATCCTAAACCCTAGACCATAATGTGGCAGTTTCCATGTTCTTCCCCATTCATCCTCAGCATCCCCAAGCCTCACATAGAGTAGTTTCCATGGTTTGAATTTGAACCCTAAACCCCTGAACCCTAAACATCCCCAAACGGTTGAGTGCAAGACGACCTTGAGCCTGGTCTGCAGCACCTGGGATTTTCCCACCCAACAAATGTTGAGGGTCTAGGCTTTATAGGGCTTAGGGGAAGACAGTGGTACTTTCAAAGCCCTATGACATATAGGGACTAAAAGGAAAGTCTATAGGGGTCCCTCATCAAATCAGCTAGAGTCAAGATTCCCGATGGACATGGGCTCCTTCTAGGGAATACACTCAAAAGGACTATGCTAAACTACCAAAGGGACCCTTATATTCACTCTTAACGGCCCCTTGGTAAACCCAATGCTCGCAGTAACTCGTAACATGCATTTGAACAACTATATAAGCCCAGCTGCCACTTCACCTTCCATGTTCTTTTCCACTTGATGCTCAATTATTGCAAGTGATATCCCTAACTCAACCCTAATCTCTAAACAGTAGCTTCAATTTTGTTTTCCGTTCGCCATACATAGCCCTAGGTAACCCTATAAGCCCTAAACCTTACAAACCCCAAGGCCTAAACTTTCATGACTGTTTTGAGATGCCGCCTCGAAGAGGCACCAGGCGCGGGTTAGAGGCATAGCCTGGCTGTCCACAACCTGAGCAGCTAGGGAGGTGGTTTGGGTTTGAGGCTTGGCCCTAAACCCTAAGGCTTATGTGATGTTTGGGGCTGGGAGATGCTCACAATGTAATTAGGGCTTAGATTTTTGGGATATAATACCAAGGCACAATGCAGAGCCCCAAGATGCGCATCTGGCTCAGCTGGCAAGCTGCTCTGGCAGTGCGTAGACAACACAACTGGGATCGTGTTTTCCCCAGTCAGACTTGTGCTTTCGATGGGCCTATGCTTGGGTCCCATTCTCTAGACGCCCCTGAGCCCTATAAACCCTAAATCCCTGCAGGTGAGTAGTCTCCCATATGCCTTGAATAAAATTCCTAGAAGCCATTGTAGAGCTGCGGCCCTTTTCCTGTGTGACCAAAATACTTAGAACGAATACTCAGAATTCAAATACGAGTGAGTCATTCAGTAATTCAGATTTCTGAAGACCTACACCCTAAAGGCTCCCTACAAAAGGGCTCTATGTAGTTCCTTTTTGGGTTTGTTATGGTTTTTTGGTACGGGATTATAACATACTGTCCAAGATGGAACTATTATATTGGAGGTTCTAAGCCCAACGCCCTAAACCCTAAATCCCGAGCCTAGCCTAAACCCCTAAACCCACAAACCCCGAGCCCAAAACCCTAAACCCTAAACCCTAAGCCCTAAGCCCTAAGAACCCTAAGAACCCTAAGCCCTAAACCCAAAACCCTTCTAGGTAGCGACTGAGGCAAGAGCCATGGCCGTTCCGCAGCAGCCCGGACTCGTGAGCGCCAGGTAGAAGGAGGAGGACTCCCAGGAGGTGCCTAGCTCTTCTTTAATCTTCCACCTGGCAGGGTTAACCCTTTGGGGGTTAGGTTTTTAGAGTTTAGGGAAGTAGATAGAATATAGCTTTGGGTATATTACAAGAAGATCCCCATATACACCACATTCCATCTTCTTTTAATCTTGCACCTGACAGGGTGAACCCTTGGGGGAGGGTTAGAGTTCTAAGGATGTGGGTTTCAAGATTTTTTTATTCTTCCACCTGGTAAGGTAGATCCCTAAACTCCACCTGACAGGGTTTTGGAGGGGTTTTAGGTTTTGGGCTGATAAGGGCTTGCAGGAGGAAAGATTTCTTTAATCTTCCACCTGACAGGGCTTTGGGGAGGGTTTAAGGGTTTAGGGCTTGTAAGGGTCTTTGGATGAAGGATCTGGATCTACAGATAGTCCTAAGAAAGCAGCTGGGAGAGAGATTCCAGGTTTCAGGAATGGGATAGAAAACTGTACTCTTCCGGAAGGTCCCCTGTACACTGACCATAAACCCTGGAGCCTAAACATTGAACCCCTCAGCCCTAAACAATGAAACCCTTAGCCCTAGACAATGAAACCCTTAGCCCTAGACAATAAAACCCTTAGCCCTAAACATTGAAACCCTTAGTCCTAAACAATGAAACCCTAACCCCCAAACGATGACACCCTTTGGCCTGAACAATGAAACCCTTAGCCCTAAGCCCCAGCCCCTAGCCACTCCTAAACCCTACCCCCTACACCCTAAACCCTAAGTAGTAGTTTCCATTTTTCCATTATCCCAATATAAGCCCAATATATACCCTATAATCCCTATATAATCCCATATAATCCCTATATAATGCCTATAATTCCTGTAGTTTCCATTTTATTTTCCATTATCCTAATATAAGCCCTATATATATACCCCAAGCCACTGGTTGTTGCTGAGGCTGCAGATCCAGTAGGTGATGTCCTCAGGGTCGCTTCCGTCAGTCTTCGCAGGGGGACTTTACTTTGAGATTGTGCATATTATCCCAATAATGGAGAATCAAATGAGAAAGAACGTGCAAAATGAAATGGACACTGGGATTGTTAAGAGGGTTTAGGGTTTGGGGTTTTAGGATGGGGATAAGGCTCACCAAGTGTACCCCCAAGGTGATAGGGCCTTGATGAGGACCTCCCAAAAAAAAGAACCTATAGGTTTGATAAGCTCCTGCTGCTACCAGGCCATGCTTGGTAAAGACGACAAGGACCGAAAAGTTTGGCCATGCGTTTGGGTTTTTCCTTATTCTTGCCATCATACAGTACTTTGTAGGACTGTCATATAAGACCTTCTCATGGTGATCTGACCAACGCAAACCGGCGCAAGCCCTTAACCCTAAAAACTGAAACCTCAAGCCTACACCCTAAACCCTGGAACCTAAACCCTAAACCCTAAAATGCAACCCTCGCCTGCCATGCGCAGCCATGCTGGATGCAGGCAGATTCCGCTTGCTTACAGATGGTGTGGACAAAGTGTGAGAAGGACGTTCCCCAAAAATGGGACCTCAGCCAGGTTGGGGATCTCCATGTTACAGCAATCCCTATAGACCCGAAAATCCCAGTTTCCATTTCATGTTCCATGATTTTTGTTCATTTGATTCTCCGTTGTGAATTGTAATACCTATTACAGCTGTTGGGCGGAGGGCATATGGCTCCGCAACTGAGAGCAGGACACAAACCACTGAGTGTCAAAGGGACCTGCCATCTCAGCATAGGAGAGTTGGGCCTCTTTTGTTAAAGGCTTGATGATGTTGGCGACAACGTAGTACATCGTTCGGCTGCGGATGAAGGGCTCGAAGGTGTCCTTTGCTGAAGGGTGGCCCGGGTGGCTTACGTCAACAAGGGCCCGTGCACTCATGTTTAACATGATTGACTTTCTGGTTGTAAGTAAGGAATAAGGAAATATGATCCTTAAATGACAGGTTCCCTTATGCTCTACCAAGAACTAGCAAGTTGATAGCTGTTCTGGCGAGTCTCATACAAACACCACAGTTGGCCGCCTCTCACCGCACGAGATGGACCGCGACAAGATTCCTGAAAAGGCTGCTACTCTTGTAAAAGATATTTCAGTAAAAATAACAACAATGCTAATAACAATGGCCAGAATAACAATAACAAGAACAATAAACGTTGCAAACACCATTAAAAGTTAAAAGATGTTAAAAGAATAGAAGTAATCATAGTAGCCCTGAGCCCGCAACCTGAGGCAAGGGGTTCCCATGCTCCAGGTCGAGCTTGTGCCGTTTCAGCTTCAGCTGCAAAGGCGTAGGAGTCCTCATTAAAAGCGTCAGGCGGAGGTAGGGAAGGCTAAGATGCTGTACCGTCTTTCTGTTTCGCTACTTTCTGAAAATTAAAGTGCCCTCGAAAAATGCCAAAATGCGTGGATCGTCACTGTGAAAGCATGCACAAGTTTCTGCAGTAATATGATGTGTTGTCAATATCCCACGTGTTCGGATCTGCTTGCTGACTCCTCAATGGGGCCCTGGTTTCTGCAAACCCTCCACCTGTATAATTTGCTTTTAATCCCCCCCTACCTTGTAGCAATCCCTGCATCATCCAAACTGTGACCCAGAGAATCCCACTATGCACGATACCAACCTCCCACAAAGGACCTCGCAAAGCTGTCCTGCGGCCGTAGAGAACCATCAAGGCCAAGTAGGTGAGCAAACTCAAGCCAACCTTTGCGAATCTCCGCTGCAGGTGCGTCTCTGCTGAAAGTGAGGATGACTTGAAACGCTGAAAGACACAAGAACAACAGCAACACACAGTACGCGTAGTCTTTGAGCTAAGAAAACCTTGAAGTCACAGTTCTGTTTGTGGGAACAGCGGGAGGAATGGTAAGAAGGAACATCAGGGCTCGTCCTTAGGAGGGCGTTTAGATCTGCCGGATGACGACGAAGCCATACATCCTTAAAAAGTCCCGCAGGAAGAGGCCGGCCGGCACTGTCGACAAGGCCAGCAGCAGCAAGATGTGGATGATTAAAGGCACTCCCAGCGGACAAACACCCCAAAGGGTGAATGGGAATGTGACGACCAAACCTAGGTTGTTGATGGGACACCATCCCCAAACCTCGACAATCCTATGAACTCATCCTTTGCACAGAAAGGTCAACAATTGGCACGTGGGGGCTGTTGTATTATTGAATGGGGAAAGCTTGCCTAAGAATGACGTAGGAACAGCCTTGAGAGGTTTCGAGGGCGCGTGTTTCAGGTTGGCCATCGCTGCCGAGCAGGAGCAGGTGCTGACTAGTCACCGCCTGCACCCGAAACTGAGGTGTCTCCGGCTTCTGGGCAGGGTAGCTGGGCCTTACCTTTTCTGTAAGGTTGAGAATCATGGATGCTGTGGCAGCAGCCGCAGTCGGAAAAGCCCAGCCCTCCGGCCGGTTGTCTTTGTCCAGGTGAGGGTGGCCACTCCCGAAGATGGTAACAGGGATCTGCCGCGAGCGCTTCAGCTTCACGTGGGAGCTCTCGATGTGGAAGGATGTGTTGGTGCCCGAAGGTGGGCCCACGCCATCAACCTTCCGTGCTGCAGGGACCCTGAACACATGAGCCGACAACTAAACCAACAAAAGCCGGTGGATCAGAATAAGGGAGCCGAAGCCTTCCTGGAAGCAGGGCGCTAACATGCTGCAATCTAGGTTGTGGGGGGGTATCCTTTGTAAGTCTTCAAATTGCTACAGCACATGTTCGGTCTGAGCTGCTGCGGTAGATCCTGCAGAGGGCCGCAGAGAAATGCCTCTGCACAAAAGGAGGTGCGGGCCATGGGTGGTGATGATTAGGCGCCCCTTATTCTGCGACACCTCCAGCTTGACATCTTGCAGGATGATCTTGTGTCTTAAGACTTTGGAAAGCATTTCGAACAGGCCGATCATGCTCAAGAAGACAACAATGATGGCAGCCAGGGCAGGGACTGCTGTCTCGCAGTTGGATCTGTCCGGTCTTGGAGCAAAGGGCCAGTACCAGGTCAAGCAGTCCTTGCAGTAGTCCTTCCCCGGCGCGTCCTGCATCGTTCCTACTGGGCACTGAAGGCAAAGATGCTCTCCTCTCTTGTCAGCGTACCGGCCGGGTGGACACTCCTCGCATCTACTGGATGCTGAGTCTGGGTTAGCACGACCGGGGGAGCAGGTATCGCACTGCGAAAGACCAGCTTTCTTGGCCAGTTGCCCAGGCTTGCAGTCTTTGCACTCCGTCCAGTTGCTGGCCTTTGGGGTGTAGCGTCCAGGCTCGCAGGCAATGCATTCTACCATCTGTGGCCGTGAAGCAAAGGTTCCTGCAGGGCAGTCATCGCACTGCGTCCTTGCCGCGCTGTTGGCATGGCGCCCTGCTGGACAGGAAGTACATTTTGAGGTACCAGCCTGATCTGTAAATCGCCCTGGATCACATTCCATGCACTTCCTCATGTTCGCCTGCGGGGTGTAGTACCCGCGCTGACAAATGCGGCAGCTACCATCATCATCAATGAAGCTGCCGGCATCACAGCGTGTAGCTTCTTCCAAGCAGCCGGTGCTGTTCGCTTGCAGCCACCTGAGCTATGTTTAGTCTAAACTCCTAGCATCCCCCTTAATAACCCCTATAAGTCTCTGTAATATAGCCATATATGATCCCCTGTACAACCCCTTTTCAAGGAGTTTAGACTCAAGCTCACCTGGCCCTGTAGGAGAGGCTCCCCTCAGCCAGGACAAGGGCCCCAAGGAAAAGGCCAACCTGCCTTGTCCATGGCACCATACTGGCAGCTTTGAGCCAACTGGTAGTTTCTGAAAATAGGGGGACCCCAGTATAGACCCTAATATATTATAATCCTTATTATGGGGACCCCTAAAATGGTACCCCTAATTTTGGGAAACCCCCAACTCCTGCACCGGAAATTCACAGCTGCGACCCGCTAGCTTGGCAGATGGTAGCGGCCTGAATGTTTCAGAATGGGGCTGTGAAATGATTCTAGAAATCTTTCAGGCGCCTAAACCCGTCGTTCTGGCGGCTTGCCTTTCTTGCCAAGCTACGAAGAAAGTATACACGGAAAGTGTGAGATAGTTGTTGACGCTCCTCTGCTTAAGCATATAGACCCTAGACTCCGGCCCTACATACTAATATACCCTAAAATCTACCAATCCTAAACCCTTGCCCTAAACCCGGAACTCTAAACCCTAGCCCTAGCCACGGTTTCGGGGATTGCAAACCTGGCTCAAAGGCGCAGACCTCCACCGATGTCTGGCTGGAAGCCTGTCGCCATAGTGGGAAGCCTGGCAGAAACTAGGTATTGATCACAATTTGGGGGTCCGCCGAGGAAGTGCGCCCTAAGTAAATCCTACGCCCTAAAATCACATCACGTGCTGGTGAAGGGAGGGCTGCCGCCTGCAGGGGTATGCAGGCGGCCTGCGCTGCCCCTCCTGGCCGTTGATCTTACTTGGAGACGGCATTGAAAGCAACAACCACATTGTCATCCCTTGTTCTTTTGGGGGCTTTTACTTCTCCAGAAACGGCAGACACATGTGCACACAATCTGCACCATCAATGCCTCGAAACCGAACTTCCCCGAATCCATATCTCAATGCTTCGGCACTGAGCACCATGCATTGTTGGTGGCAGCAGGCTAGCCTGCGGCAGAGAATCAAGGATACGCTTGTACACATGTATCTTTTCATGACAGATTCCATTGTATTCTCTGTTACTCTGCTCACACAAACACCGCATTTTCTTGTAGCACCTTATAGGCACCTTATAGAGCATGAGTATGACCTGTAGGCTTTCTTGACGACTCCATGTGACCTCACCAAACTTGAGTGAACCGTAGGTTAAGCCATGTTTAGAGCTTGGCGTGATTATATAAAACATAGCGCATGTAGCCCCTCAGTACGCATGACCCTAAGTACAGGTCTACTTAGGGTCATGCAGGATTTGGAGTATACTTCCATGTACCTTCGGCGCAAAGGGACCGCCCACCACCTATTCCAACTATTTAAGCTCTAAATTCTAAATCTAAAACCTCGCATCCCAAAGCCTAAGCCTGAAGCTCTAAACATCCAACTCCAATTTTAGGGATCCAAGTCCACAAGCAGTACCTACATTAGGTCCTAAAGTCTGCAAATATTACCTACATTGGGCTGGTTGGATCCCTATACATCCCTACGAATTCCTAGTTGCCATGTCCATGTGCTTTTGCATTTAATTCTCCACTCTTAGGGGCATACATTTGGCTATTTAGATCTCTAAGCCCTAAACCGTGAACTCTACACCATTACCTGCATTGGGCTAATTGGATCCCAACCCGAAGGGCCTCAGATTCAGGTCGATACAGCTCGCGTGCCTAACCAATCAGGCTTCGGGGAGCTTTTGTCTTCCAGGTGGACCCCAACTGACTACAAGGAATAATGGTAACGATATTAGAGTCCTCTTATATTCCTATGATACAAATTTCGGGGTGGAGGGTTCACCTACTAAGTGAGGGGTTACTTGCGGAATTCCTAACATTTAGGGTTCCCCCCAACAATGGGCTTCCCGAAGCTATGGGTACCTTTTGGGGCGGGCACTATAAGAAGGATCATAGTACTTTTGGAGTCTACATTGGCCCCCTATTTGCGAGGACCATGTAAGGGCAATGTAGGGGGCTCATGATTGATAATTGGGTGATATGTGGAGTTCTAACTGGGCTATCATTAATTAGCTTGATCCAGAGAGAGAGAGAGAGAGACAGAGAGAGAAAGAGAGAGAGACAGAGAAAACCAAAGAGAAAAATCAGAGAAAGAGAGAGAGAGAGAGAGATAATAACACAAATTGTAAGGCGGTGGGGGCGAGGGCGAGGGTAAAGTCCCGGCCGAAAACTTAACTTCACAAGTTGATAAAGACACGAAGCAAACCCTAGCTGCCTCTATGAGACGACTCTCCATGGGAGAGCTACGCGAGGCACCTGGGCTTAAGTGGAGAATGCTAGATCTGTGAGACATGTAGACAGCGCATACAAATGAAACGCTTATGGCTTCATAGAGACTATGTACGGATCATGCTCCATGATAATGACTATAACATTTTCCCAGTAAGTTCCCATTGAGATAAGGGTGTGGAAAGGCTTCTCATACAGTTCTACACGGATTGCAAACATGAACCGCATACCCACTTGCTCAGAAATTCAGACTGCGCCGGTTGCAAACTCAAACTGTAGACGGTGGGCGCTTCACGCCCCAGCCTCCATGAAGATGTAGGGTCGCTTTTTTGGTTCGAAGGTACCAACGGCTTGAACAAAAGGTCAGCAACAAATTTGTGGTAGGTTTTGGCGTGATGTAGAGCCTGAGCTTCGATTGCAGATCAAACTTCAAGATGGGGGACCGCTAACCCAGCTTTAGGGTCGGGTGAGTCAGCTCGGACTGGAACACGAGTTGCATTGAGTTCGGACTCCATGACCTGTCTATCATGGGTATTGAGGAATTCTTCTTATCAGCATTGGCAACACTCTTAAGTACTGTTTCATTTCTTCCGGCATGTTGTCATGATTTGTGATCCACGCCCATCATGCCCCACCCAAACTGCATGAAGCAACCTCCCACTCACCCAAACTTCCTCTAAGAAGCCAACAGGGACGGCTGCCCAACAGCAGGGCAACATCATTTGGCTGCGTGACCTGGTGGCAAAGTATGCGGCTGGCATGCTCTGGGGACGTTACAGTAGGAAGCAGCGTATGAGGCGGTGATATGGGGACTACCTGGAAACTATGGAGGTTGAGCTGCTTCTTAGAAAGAACAGAGCACTGCTTCATGATGCACAGCGGTGCCTGCCGTCACGAGAACTAGGAACCCCGGCTACTTACCATAGCCGTTCAAAGAGCATGTCCAAGTGTTCTGAAGGTTGCCCTTCTGACTGCTTCGCTCAAAAAGCCCCAACATTGCCAGTGGTCTGTGGTCTCCTGGCATGACTCCTTCCCTGCATCCCAAATCACAGTCTTTCAAAAGGGATCCAAAGGTTGGGCAAGCAATCGCATGCTGAGATGCTGACAGCTCGGTGGCTCGCCAAAGTCTCAGACGCTGGGGTCTTCGCAGGCCCTTCGATTGGCGTGAAGCTGTGGGTCTACACTAGGGTTGGGGTGATGGCCTCTCGAGACTTTGTGACAATTAGCTCAAAGTGGGGTACGGGCCATTTAATCTATCCTACTGATTGTGGAACAGGGACCGCTTGTGTAAGCAAAAGACAGGATCCTCAAAGGGAGCAATGCCGGGATCCACAGTCGTAAGGAAACATGTGTGAAGGGCACAGATGATGATTGCAAACGTCGGATTAAGCATCATCCGCCTCTGAGCCATGGCCCCAAAGCCCAAAAGCAATGTCACCATAAACCCGCGGGCCCCTACCCCCAACCCTGGCCCCCAGCCCTCCCCGGCGCAGAAGGAAGTTTCCCATGTGTAGAGCATTGTAATCTTCATATTAGCGGTGGCTTTGCACTTCGGATCCTGGGAATGCAAAACACCCTTCCGCGAAACCTTCCTGTCACGAACCTTCCGCGAAAAATTGCATACGCGGGGTATGCTCTCTTCTTGAACTCTCTTGGCGTGACGCTTGACTCTGCAAAGAAGCCTATGCTCATCATCGGTCGCTATCATCAATTTGCGTTGACTTGAATTTTTAACGGTCACGGAAACTAACTTCAAAGTGATCTCGTCATGGCTTCGTCTTGGCACACATGATTCTTGGGCATCCAGCCTTGACAAAACCTTCAGCCTTCAACTGGGTGGATTTCCAGGTCTGTCTTCTTGTTGCTAACTCAACTCACAATGGGCTGAATTAGGGTCAGGAACCCATCCATCACTATCCAGAGCGCTTTGAATGCTTGTTTTTGCGTTAACTTGCCATGTTCTGGCCCAAGTCATATTGTGCCTTTTGTTGCAGCTCACAGACGCACAGTAGGCTAAAGCTTAACCATTACACTTTTGCTACAATGGTAGTTCAGCAGCCTAATGTGCTGGCAATACATGCAAAAGGCCGGTAACAACCATGCAACATGCGCACTTTACAGTGCTCGGCTTGGGCTGTCTCTTTTACAGCCACTATTCTGAGTGTTTTGCTGGGATATACTGCGCGTTTTGGGGCCCAGCAGAAACGGAGGCCGAATTGTGTTGATGATGCTCGCCCGGAAAAACCGTATGTAGCCTTGGAAGAAGCCTGAAATATGCATCCCAAAAAAGTCTGGAGTTTTCACCCCCAAAACCGTTTCCCAATAGCCGGTCGGATGTTGCGGCGTCACCCTGTATAAAGCCTAGCTTACCCTAAGGGTCCAAGGACCCAACTGATAGGGTTTTAGGGCCCAAATACTATAGTATTAATGGTATTTGGGCCCTAAAACCCCATGATTTGGGTCCTTGGACCCTTAAGATAGCTAGGCGTGCATCCGCACTGTACCGCGACGGCCAGGCCGGATTTCCCCTTCCAGGCATGACGCCTCAACCTACGAACCCATTTAAGCAGATATAGGGTTTAGGGTTATAGTCCCCCTTAAGTAGATATAGGGATAATGGAAGAGAAAATGGAAACTACTGTAGTATGTTGGGGTTCTATAGGGTTATATGGGGCTATAGTCCCCCTTAAGTAGATAGACTATGGCTTTGGGTATATCACAAGAAGGTCTCCATATACCCCGAAGTCTATCTACTTAAGGACTACTATATTGTTGTGGAAGCTTATGCCTGATCATGCTTTACTCTGCATTCTGTCTCAGGGGGAGCGTCTGCAAGGCTATGGACATTCCCAACCCTAAGATGCAGTCTAAGCGGCTGGCCATCTCAGCGCAAGGTATAGTACCCTAAATCCTAAACCTAAAACCCTAAACCTTAAACCCTGAACCCTAATATAACTATCCGGCCACAGTAAGTGCTATGTTGAGTGCAAGCTGCTGCATATTCTTTCACTTGTGCAGCTGCCCCTCAACAGCCTGCTTATTACTACTACAATCTATAGTCCCCCTTAAGTAGATAGAATATGGAATATACGGGGTCTTATTATAATATACCGAAAACCACATTCTATCTACTTAAGGGGGACTATATACTTGCAACTTGGCGGGCTCCAGACATCCCCATCTAGACCAGGTTGTTGCCAAACTTGACCCTCCTTCCACGTAAACTGGTGCTTGAAGGTGGTTTTGTATGCACTATAGGGTCCAACCCTGTACTCCCCATTATAAGCAGTACTAATTCATCCTACTAATCCCTCATCTCCCTTGTAACCCCCCCCCTATATGTTACCATGACGGTAGGGGGAATGTCTCTTAGTGGGGTGGGGGGTTGATTACTAAAGGCCATCACCAGATTCATCTACGCCTCGTGACGCCAGAGCAGGTGGAGGCGGCCGAAGGCGCAACGCCTGCTTCTGCTCTCAGTAGGAGGTTCGTGAGACCCACCTCGTAACCCTACCTTCCTACCTTTTTCCCCATAAATGG